GTTTAGGCAACAGGCCACTCAGTCAATTCCTGTCGCAACCAATGAATCAACATTTGGTTGATCTGAAAACAGTGGACCCTGCACATGTGGGGAAAACTCTAGGAAGAAAAAAAAAATAACCCATTTTGGTTGTCATTTGGCTTCCTGGCTAAAATTTATTTTGATTTTAGTGATTTTTTTTTCTGCCCTGTTTCAGGTATTCTTGTTAAAAGCTTAATTTATAGCCTTGTTAAAAATCTGTGCTAAGCTTATGTAACGTCCTATTAAGCTGCAGTTTCAAATATTTGGATCCAGGAATAACTCGGGAGCAGACTTTCTCCCCCTGCTGAAAGCTTCAAGAAAACATAAGTCAGCAAAACCTCCAAGGAAATTACTGATTTACCTGAAAGAAAATAATGTAGCTGCTTAATAAGTCCTAAAGAGAACATATGATCCAAATCTGGCTTTTTCTCTGAGGATAGTTTTACACCTCCTACATGTAATAAATATTGACCATTTCTTTTTATTTTATTTTTAGACATCGCGTTCCTCAAAAAAAGTCCATAATTTTGGAAAGAGGTCAAATTCAATAAAAAGAAATCCTAATGCACCTGTCGTTAGGCGAGGCTGGCTGTATAAACAGGTATTGTCTATTGGGGTGGGGAGGAAATGCTATATATCTTCATCTGAAATGTAGTGTTGCAGTTATGAGATAAGAAAAGTACAGCTTTGCCCTACATTGTATGATGAAGGTAATCTGCTAATGGTATCCACAGGAGAACCCAGAAACTTGCAAATGAGTGATTTTGCTTTCTGTTTTTTCCTGCAGGAAATTGGAAAATTATACTAGCTTGTGAAGCATTTTATAACTACTGCAAAATGCCAGTGCTTTAGATAAAAGTTTGCTCAATTATTTGGATTTGATTTATTCCTCCAAATAGGGCACATCTGTTAGAGATTCTGTTTGTATCGTGCATTGTTTTATTATACCACTTTCTCAAAAACAAATCCAATATAAGTCATTTTTGGTTTAATTCATCTCTCTGGTTCTAACATATAAAAACGTAGAACCTGCAATTTTTGTCTTTTACTTGGTATGCTTGGAGAAAAGAAGTAATTCTTATCCTAAAGTGAATATTGAAGTTTGAGCTAAAGTGGTAATTTATCAGTACCGTATGTCTGTGTAAACATTAAGTACTTAATTTGACTGGTGTGATCCAGATATTTAGCAAATTTATACTTCAGATTTTACTAGTAAAATCTGTATTTGGGCCAAGAGTACTATATCTTAATCATTTCTTTTACTTGTGATGGAATTTTGCTCAGTGGTCAAAGTTTTATTTAAAAAATAGTCAGCTGTGGTGGTTACAACTGTTACAATCAGATGCTTGGTATTTGTTCCTCTGTGGAATAAGTTGGTTCCCTAGCCAGCCATAAGAAATTATGTGACCCATCGTTCTCTCTTGCTCCTCCCCCCAACCTATTTGCAGAAAGGAAGCCTGCCCACCAGGAACCATCCTGCTAAACTGGAACTCTTTGTTGTTGGGGCTTTAGCTGATATATACTTAGCAGGACTTCATCAGCTGATAAGGTCACAGTAGGCCCATGAAACTGTGTAGTATAGAGGCGTCACACATCATCTCTGTCAACATGATGCTCATCTCTTGGGAAAGACTCCCGTACAGCCCTTGACTGTAGAGTTTATCAAAAACAATAGTCCTGAAATAGAAGTGAGATGCCTGTTTGAAATTCAGCAGTATGTGATTTTGTTGTTGTATCTTCATGTTATCCAGAATAAATAAATTTCTACAGACTGATAAAATAGGGAATGTCTGCTTTTTTAAACATAGAAGCATAATTTTTCTGGCCCTGCAAAAGACACCCCATAGTGTCTGTTTTCCAAGGGCTATTAAAGCAGTCGTGACAAATAGGAGCTATTCCTATTGTTACAGTCTCTAATCCAGTAATTCTTTATATTTGTTTGACCCACCCACTTGATCTTTGGCACAGAGCAGCGCTTTAAAGGAAAAAAGATTACTGTCAGAAAAGAGTATGCCCTTGCCATTTAAAATGATTCACCTAGTCAGACCTAAGTAGGGTTCTTCTCATTGCTACCTTCTTGAGAGCAGCTTCAGACATTAAGCAGGGCAACTTGAAATGTCAGGCATAGAGGGCATGGTTTGTTTGAACCTATACATTTCTTGCATGTGCAAAATGTCTATAATGCAATGTTTGTAGATGATATATTATGCACCAAGCTTCTGCCTTCAGAGAAGATTGTTCCATGTTCTTGGTTCATCTTTTAGAGATCAGTATGAGCACAGATTCTTTTTTGATTTGGAAAATGGCCTCTAAAACCAGGTGTGGACCAATGTTAGCAGACCAACGTTAATATATTATCTGAATTATATTATTAGTTTTAAATATACTGTACTCCCCAAGCCAGAGAAGAGTGGAAGTTCTGACCTGGTATCTGAAGCCTGTTAGGGTCTGGTTTGGAAGAAACAGAATGAGGCTGAATCTCTGCAAGGCAGAGGGGCTGGTTGTTCAGAAATCATCTAGTACTTTTATTTCTCCAGTGATAACTTTGAAGGAAAGGAGGAGCAGGTCCATGGCTTAGGGATTCTTCTAGACTCATGGCTATTGCTGGATAGGTAGGTAAAGTCTATGCCAAGGGAGATCTATTTTAATTTTAACTGATGTGCCAGTTGCAGCTCTTCCCAGAGCATGATGCCCTGTTAATGGCTATCTATACCATGTTTATCCCTCAAGTTAATTACTACAATGCATTTGACATGGGGCTACCTTTGAAGATTACATGGAAACAGCAGTTGATGCAAAATGCAGCAGCCATCCTACTGGCAAGTAAGAACTGCCAGTGCCATGTAACACCAATTTTGCAGGCACTGCATTGGGTTCCAGTAGTCTTCTGAGTATAGTTCAAAATGCTGGTTTTCCATCTGTAAAGCCCATTTATGGCTTAATGCCTAAGTATCTGCAGGGTCATCTACTTCAGGTAGAATTGGCTCTAGTTCATTCAGCCCAAAGAGGGTAAGGAGTTGCTCCTGATGTCAGGTTTTTTTCCTTAAGGATAAGATTGTTTCTTATGATTTTATGGATTTTATATTGTTTGTAAATCACCCAGAGTAAATATGAAGAGAGCCAGTTTGATTTAGTGGTTAAAGCATCAGGCTAGAAGCTGGGAAATCATGAGTTCTAGCCTTGCCTTAGGCACGAAGCCAGCTGGGTGACCTTTGGCCAGTCACTCTTTCTCCACTCTAGGAAGGCGGCAGTGGCAAACCACTTCCAAAAAACCTTGCCAAGAAAACTGCAGGGACTAGTCCAACCAGTCGCCAGGAGTCAACACTGACTCAAAGGCACCAAAACAAAAGAAAGTATTGAAGACAAATAAATACCAACTAATATTAATGTTGCATAATATACTTTTTTAATGAATGAAAGTCTTTCTAAGCTATATTGCTGTGATCCTCAACACAGTGCCCATGAGCAAGAATGTACCCACATCCTAGATGTCCTTTAGGACATCTAGACCCAGTCTGACTTTTTTGTTTTGTGAATTGCTGTCCCACCACAGTAGCCATTTTCTGAATTGGGACAGCTTCCCACCGGCAGTCACAGAGCCCACAATCATACAGTAGTCTCAAAGTTCCAAATCTGCCCTCTGGCCAAAAGGATTATGGATTTCTACTATGGTATATCTCTGTACAGTTATTATTTTCATAAATCATTCCGTAAAATGCCTTGAGGTATTTATTTGGCATTTGTGTAAGCTAAAACAGACAAAATAGAGATTCTTTGACAAACTGTCTTGAGTTGTACAAGATAATGGCAGAATTAGGATATAAATCAAATAAATAAATAAAGCTTGTTCAATAATATTAATGACTTAAGTAACAAGAATATAGGATAATGCCTTCACAAAAGTAGAACATTTAAATGTTTACTTTTCTGCATGGGATATGCATTGGAAAACCAGAACATGAAACCAGCAATGGAGCATCTGAGTCATCCTAACAAAATGTATTTATTTATTTACTTAACATTTTTATATGGCTGCCCATCTACCAAAAGCACTTTGGGTGCTAAACAGATAAAAACAAAAACAAACAAAAAAAATCATTATCAGCTGCTCCTCCAATGTTTAAGAATATCCAGAGGCTTGGCATTCATTATTCTGCTATTCCTGGATATCATCCCAAGCCTGTTCACCAGCAGGATACTTAAAATTCCCTTAATACCCTTTCTTCTTTCAACGGATTTATTAAATTTTATTGTCTGAGAGCATGCACACTGTTGTGGTAATGCAGCCATTTACTCCAGGAAACAGTGGAAACTGGTTAATGATAGAAGAACAAATTTTTAAAAACCTTCAGAAATAGAAGCTTTTTATTTTGGAAGATACTTACTTGATCATAACAATATGATTAATAACAGGGTGAGGAGACTCTTGTTTCTTTAAATGCTTCTTTCCCCTCCCCTCTCACTTTTATATGTGTTTGTTTATTTATAACTTGTCTCTCCTCCCAGGAGCTCAAGTTTTACATGCAGTTTTCCTTCCTACTGGTTGAAATTAAACTAGTTGAGAGAAATAATGAATATCTTAAGTTCTGTCATTAAATTTCATGAATGAATAATAATTTTGATCTAACTCCTTATTGTCTCAACCCCAGTAACCATAACCCCATATTGTATGTGTAGCTGCCTTAAATTACGGATCAATCTAGCCTAGTAATCTAAGATGATCTCTTATATCAGTCAAGCTATAAACTACTCCGTTCTTCAGTGCCACCAGAAAGAACGGGGAGGAAACACATTCATAGTTGCTTATATATCAACAACAGAATTCAGAAAGTGTCAGGCTCATGCAAAAATCATAGCATGAAATGAAAAGAGGAGAGGATTAAAAAATGTATGTGATGGAGAGGAGGAGTCAAGAAAAATTGGTATCTCAGCAGAACTGATGGGATCTCTTCTTTCTTCAGGGCAATAATAGAAGGACTGCTGGAAGATCATTTAGTCCCTGTTTTCTACTGCAACTGGCAGCTGGAGTATCAGGCAAATCATTTCTTGCCTGATTTAATGCAAAATGCCAGGGATTAAACTGGGACTTTATATAAAGCATGTTGTACAACTGAGTGGTAGCTAACTCTACTACAGCTGGAACCTAGACCAGCTATCTGAGGCCCTATAGAATATGTGAATATTGACAGGCAGAGCCCACATTGCATTAATCTGGGCTCCCCTCTCCTTGTGGTGTCAAGAATTAACCTTCTCCAAGGCCTGAAGATATTGCAGGAATTTAATTAGGAGCCTTTTGATCTAGCATTCTTTCTCAGCCACTGGAGTGTGTGTTTCTCAAAAGCTAAAGCCTTTAGCATTGTCCTAGTTTCACTCTAGCTACTCAGATCCATGCTGTTAAGCTTAAGAGTGGAAGATTCAAGGATTCAAGCAATTCAGATAAATTGCTCTTGCTGCAGATGTGAAAAGTGTTCTTAGACAATGATCAGCTTCTTCAGAATCTAGCTATATTTATATGTTGGCCACCAGGTTTAAAGCCCATGTCCCTTATGCAGTAATAAAGTGTTTGCTGCCCATTTCACATCCCCTGATGTTGAAGGTGCCTGCCCTGTGCTTTGATAACAATCTTGTCTGGTCTCAGACTATTCACTTCCATTCTTCAGCCATCACAGGGATTCTCAATCTGAGCATGGATTTTCTAGTTACTCAGTTTACAGCTCATTGAGATAAGGGGGCTGGTGAGGATGACAGGATGAAAATTACACCTTTCCCCTGTAATTCCAGACTTCTAGAGGACAGGCAATGATTACTGGGATATGAAGAAAAGGTACATATTGGTTGGTAGGATGGTCACACATTGAAGGTGTCATTTCTCATAACTTGACAGTTTTTCAACAACATTTTAAAATATTGTGTGTTGAGAGGAAGAGCTTTGTGAGTCAGGCAAAAGACATGTTTAATCCAGCATTGTTGCACACCAATCAGGTGAATTGGGGACATTTACAGGATATAAAGTTAATAGGCTTCTATCATTGGTTGCCTTGGGAATTGTTATTCATACAGCTTCTGATGCAGGGCACAGATGTCATACAATGTGGAATTCTATTTGTGATGATAAACATGTAATGGTTTAATCACACCAATATGTAATAACCTGTGATACTCCAGAGTTACAAAAAAATTCTGATTTTGCCAATGTGCTAAAGCTGTTGGATTTCCAGTGCCTATGATTCTATATTTCATTACCTACAGGATAGTACTGGCATGAAACTCTGGAAGAAGCGATGGTTTGTTCTTTCTGATCTCTGTCTCTTCTACTATCGGGGTAAGTCTTTTAAATGTCTCTAAGCAGTGGGGTTAAGCTGTGCTTCCAAAAATATATTACCTTGTCTTTAAAAAAAGAAGAGGAGGAAAAAGACATTGGAACAAGTAATGGTCGTTCTGCTCTTCTGTTGATATAAAAATAAAAGTGCTGATTTGATCAGTATACTTAGTTTGTTCCATGGGAAATATATGGTCAGTTAGTTCTAACCTTGCATAATCTGGGTCAGAACAAACTCCATTTCTGTGACTTCCATGTCCCCTGTCCTACCTCACAAGCTGTGTTATTGTTGTTGTTTAAATGGAATATCAGAAGCAGTATTAAAAGTTGGGAAGGCTCACAATCTTCATCTACCTCTGTTCTATACACTTAATTTTAGCTAATCCACTGTTGCCTTTCCTCTTTCCCCAGTCATTCTGATGGACTGCCGCAGGTTCTTTTGCACTTGTGCTGTAGTTTGTTCAGAATAGTTTGAGCAGTGTTTCTCAGCCTCAGCAACTTTGAGATGTATGGCCTTCAGCTCCCAGAATTCCCCAGCCAGCATGGGAATTCTAAGAGTTGTAGTCCACACATCTTAAAGTTGCTGAAGTTGAGAAACAGTTGTTTAAAGTCTAGGATTTTTGATGGAAGCACCATACAACCTTTTAAAAGTGGTACTTCCACTATTCCTTTCATTTGTTTTCTGACAGCCATAGCAGTAGCATCTATATTCATCTCATGGATTTCAAGAAAAGAGATTTTCTTGAGGCTTGGTCATCATGATTTAAACTGTATAACCCACTCTGTCCTATTTAGGAAGACCTAGAATTGTAGCAGATGGTTCTAGCATCTGCTGGACCCTTCTGATGCTTAAGTTTCCCCATCTCTCCTATTTTTGCTGATAGAATAAGTTTTTTGGCATAAAATAGCAAACTGCGTATGAGGAAGCTGGAAAACATGATGTAGAGGAATAGAAACCTTTCTTCAACTATTTTAACTCTGAGGGAGATTTACTAGAAGCCAGTTAAGGAGTTTATAAGAGGTCATATCTGAATTACTTTGGAGTCATGACTTTGGATTTTTAAAGCCTCAAATCATTCTGTGTTGTTTCAGAGTTAATCTTAGTATTCTCAAATATGTAGCAGTAATTGGATTTGGATGATCCAAGGCTTAACTGAGCCCAAAGGAGCCTACTCGTTCATTGAAACAGTTCACTGCAATTCAGAGTGTTTTGTGTGCAATAGAGAATTCCTCATTGATTGATACTGCAAATTTACACGTTTTGTCTTCGTGAAAGTAACCATTATGGCTTTCCCCAAAGGATGCTGGGAATTATAACTTGCTGAAAGTGCTGAGAGTTCTGTTAGAAAGTCTGAGCTGCTGCTTCTACTTAAAAAAAGTGTAGATGTGTGAGGAATGCCTGCTCAGTCTGTCTCATTGATAGAACAATGTCATCTTGTGGGACTTGGATATGACCTTCTCTGTAGCCACCTCTGCCCTTTGGAATGGTATTCCCTTAAAGTCTGCATGGTCCCAATCCTGCTGAGCCTGAGTGTTCTTTTGGCCTCACATTGGTATTTGGTATTTTAACTCTGGTGGTCTCCTATCCAAGTACTAAGCAAGATTAGTCCTGACCTTGCTTAGTTCCAAGCTAAAAGGGATGGCGTCACAGGACAAATAGATGTAAGATAGTTTTCATTACCATGTTCAAATCTTTTATCACACCTTTCATCTTTAACACTGAGGCACATAAAATAAAGCTATGAAACTTGATCAAAGCTATGAAAGTATCCATATAGTAAAACTAAAAACTGGCAGGTTCAGATAACGGTGAAGAAAAGGTGATTGGAACATAAACATCTTCAAGACTGGAGTAAAAGATCATCAGAGAGATTGGATCTATGACAAAAGTAAATGTCCATTGACCAAATGTTAAAGTGAAAGAATTAATATTTAGCTCTGGAGACTAAAATAGAGTACAAACCAAGATTTTCCAGCAGAAATATGGCAATATTTTTAAACTGAGCTAATTCCTTTCACTTTATCTAAAGGATTACAGAAGTACCAAATTGCTCATGTTATAATCAGTTTAGAAATGCAGAGCTATTATGTTCAGAAAGATTATAGACTGTTGGAAAAACCAAGCCACCCTCAGTAACAATTAGGGGCATTGAAGTATTGTAATTTAATACATGGAGACTTTGGTTGAGCTAAAATTGTACTGTAATTAGGGAGATGGTTGTTAGTGGGCTTTTTCCCTACTAGAAGGAAAGTCAATTCATCCATTTCTGTCGAGGTCCGCAGACCAGGACTCAGCAGTAAATCTCAGTCCTCTGTCTTTGCAAAGTTTTACTAGCCTGCTAGTCTCAGGTTCAGCTGAACTCTCAGACACTCACATGGCATAACTAGATTAGAATATTTATTGCAAACTAAAATAAAGCCATATTAAATAGTTGGTTGCCCTCTGTCAGTGTGAGGTTGCAGTTCCCTTTTATACCCAAATCATAGTTTCTTTTTCCCATCTTTCCCACATTTCAGAGGGCTGTTTGCCCAGTACTTCATGGCCTTGAAGCTGAGCAGCTTTTGATATAACTGGCATTTCTGCCCTGAGAATCTCTTGCTCTTGGCTTATCTTTCGCAATTGCAAACAGCCACACAGTTACATCTCCCAAAGCAGCCATTGTAGCTTTCCCTGGAAGCATCCCAGTGTATGCATCTACATTACTAATTCTAACCAGGTTTAAAAGTTCTGAATATCTTTATTGCTAATTCTTTCAGTGTTTCCTTTTTATTGATTTATTGGTTTTAGCCTTAATATTAAATTTATAAGTTAACTTGCTGAGATGAATAAATAGATCAAAGCCACTTATATACCCATCCTGAAAGAACTGAAGGAGATTGTGTTAATAACCAGATGTTCTAATATTAATTTGCAAGTACTGTATTAGCATGCTATAAGAAGGAATAGAAGAATTAAAAGGGAAGATGTTCACTGCTTTGCTTTGTGGTAAAGGGGTAATATCTACCATGATAGCAGTTTTATGAATAGGTATGCTCCCTCCCCCATAACTGCTGTATGGTGAGTGTGGGGACATAATTTCAAAATTTCAAAGGTGCCATTTTCTCAGAACATTGAGTAGAGTTGTGTTTTTTTATTTGAATGGAGTCATCTATTTATTTAATCTAAGTCTCAGTTAAAAATAGAGAAACAAAGAAAGAGCAGAATTCTTAAAGCTGCTTATCAATACTAGAACCTGGATGGAGGGCAACTGGTAACAGTCTTTTATGGTGAAATACATTATATTTACATTTAAAATAGTGTAATCAAATTAGTGTGTTCATATGTATACAAGCTTGTCCTGTCTTGTGTGATATATAATAACATTCTTTAACTTCATAAATGTTCCTTATTTCAGGAACATTTTTGCTTCAGGTTATAGATTAGCACCCTCCTGTCAAGCAGAAAATGCACTGAAATGCACTTGGTACCTTCCCTTCCCTTTGAGTTAAAACACTGAGATAGTTCCCCTGAATTTTCATTTCCAATTTTCTTCTTACACACTCTTAAGGAGAAGCTAACATGCATTTTCCTGGGACTGCAGAATTACCAAGTGAGTCCAGGAAAACTGTTGGCTTCTGTAAGGAGAAGCTGGATATGTCTACCATCTCCTGAGACAGGGTGTTTTGATGTTGAACAACTATTACCACGAGGAATTTTTTTCTGATGTGCAACCAAAATCTACTTTTGCAATACCCAGAATGACAGCTGGGTTAGTCTCTTTCAGGGTCAGAATATTCCATGAATGTTCTGCATATCCCTATTTTTTTTTCTGGTTTTATTTTTATTGTAAACTATAGTGAGTTTTCAGTAGTTGGTAGTATAAAATGTAATAATAAAAACAAATCCAATAATTAATGCATATTATAGGCCAGAATGAGTTTTCTTTTCTGCATTTCCAAGAAATGCAGTGAAAATAACTTGTAGGTATAACAAATATAAATGCTTGTAACTATTACTGTAACTTTAGTGTTATGTTTCTAGTAAATAAATTAGGGATATGCAAACTTCAGATTCAATAGAGATGCTTCACAGTGCAGAAGAACATGAATGCAGAAGCTCTCAAGCTCATTAAAAGACTCATTAAAACAGCCATATAATTTTGGATATAGACACAGGTGCTTTAATGAGTCACAGATAAATGCTACATTTGCACATCAACACATTCAGAAGTGCTCTGCTGAATTGAATCTGAAGCATTGCACAGTCCTTTCAGTTTTTATAACTGTTACATTCATTCATATCACTTCAGGCATTGTAAATACAATACTTTAAAGTCTCTATGTAAACTTAAACTTTGCTTAAGGTCATACCTATATAAATTACTTCATGGTTTTTACAATAATTAGGCAAGCTAGGGCAGTGTTCTTACCTCATTTTACAGACCAGAAATAAGTTCTGGGAAGTTAATATTTGAGGCCCATTGAGTTCATGATTGAGCTAAATTATGAAACACAGATTTTCTGGCTTGCAGGTCATGCTTTTAATTATTAGAGTAATTAAATATTAGATATTGGTGCAGTATAGAATCCATTTTGTGTTGTGGAATTGTACAGACCAGCACTAATACAGAGTATATCAGCAAGTTGAAGGAAAGCCTGGATAGTCATATCTGGATTTTTTATGCTTAAGAACCTTCAAGCATTTTTGCTCTTCTGAATAGTAGTTTATCATTATGGCAATTTTTTTGGTCTTGTCTTTCTTGCTTTTGCTGAAGGATAAAAGAGCAAATTCACCTTTGCTGCAAACAATAGAACATCCTAATTGAATAAATATTTGTACTGAAGGTGTGGGATAAGAGAATCTTCACTGTTTGTTTTTTAATCCTATTCATATTCTGTGTACAGATAAAAATACATGTAGGAGGCAAAGAAATTTGTAGATGAAAGCTCTTGTAGGGAGTTTTTAATAAGATGGTGATAATGCAAATAATTTCACTATAAATGTGGTGATCCATAATAACCACTTTAATTTACCCATAATTAGAAATAAACTAAACATTTAATTGAGAGTTACTAGATATGTTTCATGCTAACATACCGTTTATTAAGAGTTTTTCTTAGACAAGTGTTCACATTTCCTCAGCCTGGAGTATAGTGACTTACCATCAATCTCAGTATCTCTTTTGCTATCTTAATGATCCTTTGACTGGTTGGTATAGCCAAATTTTCCTCATTCTTTGTTGCAACCCAAGCCAAGGCCAGTAGAGCAAGGAATCCTGTGATAGTGGCCACTGTACTGGACAATTCTCAAAGCTAAGTAATGAGATTCAGAAGGTGGAGGATTTCAAGGTGGTGCTTATTTTTAGCAGAGAGAGAGTATTCATAGCACTCAATGTATAACATTGGAAATTGAGTAAGTATTGTTCCCATATTGCATATTAGAGTCTGAGGATCAGAAAGTAAAATTGGAATTAAATTTTAAATTTAATTGGAATTTGAGCTGGGACTTTCATAGCCCTGTGTTATAGTTACTGAAGTAGATGTGCTGCTTCCAGCTAGGAGGTTCTTAATGAAAGGCAAAGCATTACAGGCCATTGGGTTTGTCCTGGTTGATATAAGGATTAAGCACTGATTTTAAGTTATGTAGACTGATGCAAGGTATACATTCAGCTGTGTTTGTTGTCTTGTGAGCACCATAAAGACTAATGGGGAGTTCCATACAGAAGCCACAAGTGCAGATTCTGCTCATACTCTGGCACGAGGCTACTCTTTTGGTGTTCACTGATATAAACCCATTTGGCACATAAATGGGGAGTTGACATTTTCTGTCCACAGATGAATGTATTTATTTTGTGGTGTGGTGGTTAAGGTGTTGGCCATCCTCAGCCATGGAAGCTCATTGGGTGACTGAGGCTTCTGTTGCTCTTGCATCCCAATATGCCTCACAGCATGGATGTTGTAAGGAAGAATAGGAGGAGGGAGTACTATGACCCCAGTCTTGAGCTCCTAAATTGCATCTCAGTATTTATCATAGAATCATATTCTGTTGATTCACAGGAGTAGTATATGGTTATATGATGAAGATATGCATGCCTGTACAGCATTGCATGCATAGTAATTCCATGGATTCCCTCAGAAGTATGACTGAACATGCTACTTTCAGTTAATAAATTAATCAGAATGCCTGCCTTCAAATGTATTAGAACTGCTGTGAAAAAGGGAAGCAAACTAGAGGAAAGTTGAGCAAGAAAGTTTTTTATATCTATATGAGAGAGAGAGAGAGAGAGAGAGAGAGAGAGAGAGAGAGAGAATCTCCCAGTGTAGTATTGGTTTTCTAGTTTATCAAATGCTTGGACAGTAGCATGTTCCCTCATGGGTACAAATGCACTGAAATACTTACAGATGTTCTTTGCATCCAAAGGGGTATTTAATTAAGAGTGGCTTGTGCTTTTTTTATTCCAGAAGATTTATGTTGTAGCATTAATAGGCTTCTTTGAAGGCTGCCTGCTCGTTTTGGAAAAACAGCATTTTATTTCAGAGCTGCCACTAAAGATAGTGGTAGGCGACCTTCCCTGAATACTCAACAATGTGCTGGCCTAAGTTTTGTTTGGGGCCAGACAGACACTGGTTGAAAGTGATTGCAAAATTCACTCTAGTCTTTAGCAGGAATATGAACTGCCAGTGGCAGGTTGGCCTTCATATACCTGAGAGTAAGGCTTTACTTTGCTTTGGATTCAATTCAGAAAAGGTGTGTTGGAACAAATGCAGCAGCTGTGTGTGATGTGTTAAAGTAGCTGCATCTGGAACCAAGGCTGGGCTGCTGCCATGGTAGTCTCTTCTACCTTTGTTTTAATGAGCTGCAGACAGATGCTTCATTTGCTCTCCCACGTGTTCCAAGGACGTCTTCCAAACTGAATCTGAAACATTGCATGGCTGAATTACAGAGCCCCTCTGCTCTCTGCAGAGCCCCTCTTACAGAGCCCCTCTGCTCAAGAGGCATCATAAGCCCCTTAAGATAAGTGTTAAGATCTTAACACTATCTTTAAGATAACAGGCCTCTTCTCCTTTCCAGTGCTTAATAACATTTAGGTTTAACTCACATTTTTAAATACAATTTAATCTTCTGTATGTATTTAGTCAAATCATATCTTGATTATTAGGGGAAATATTTATTATGACTTGTCAAAATAATCAATCAGTGGCTCTGAGATGTTCTCTGCTGGGACAGAGGGAGGTAGCAGGCCATATCGAGGTGGCTGGAGACTGAGGGCTTGCAGTTGGGCTTCTAGCTGATTCTATATGCTTTATTCTTTTTCACTGCTGGAAAACATGGCATAGTTTAAATGAGATTTATAGCCCCACAAGTCCTTTTAGGGTTTTTTTTTTCTATTCACAGTCTTCTTCCAGCAACATCTTTAGCCACAGTCACTGCTCTGCATACACGCACCCACACAAACACACACATTCATCTCAAGAAGACAAGCAGAGAGCCAGACAGAATTATCTGTTTATCAATTTCTATTCTAAAAACATCATTACTTGCCATCTCTAAGAATCTGTATGAAAAGTAGATGGAGGTTACTGGGAAAAAAAAGTGAAATTACTGGATATAAAAG